AATAATAAACTCCGAAATATCGAACCGATTAGAAAATTTTTAATTTCGCTCGAAGTGAATTTCGAACAGATTTTGTATTGTATTTAATCTTTTTCTCCTTTTTCTTTTTTTTTTCTTTTTTTTTTTTTTTCTCCCCTCCCTCTCTCTTCTCACTTCTAGGCGACTTTCAAAGTGGACCGGGCCGACCCGTGGAAGAGATAAACGCTAGAATAGACCAACTGTCCCGGCAAGTGTCCTCGTTGGAGCACTCGATGGGGGAGAACATCAGGTTGATATTGACGCTGCTCCAACAGACGCTCAACTCGTCGAGGGAGAGTTCGAGCATCGAGATGATGGCCGGGCCGACCTCGGTCGGTCTGTCCAAGAGTAGTAGAGCACCGGCTTTGGTCCAACGATCGGCCAGCGAACCTCAACCGCCTACCGGCCCTCCGTCGAGTAACGGAAATGGAAAGATCCAGCCTAGCACGTCTCACGGTTTGTTCAGGTGAGTTTGCTCACCGCGATTTGCTCACGAAAATTTGAAAAATTCTCTCGTTCAACGTGGTAACGTGTCAAAGGGATTGGATTTGATGATAATAATAAAGGGGAAAAAGGAGGGCGGGAGGGGGAGGGGGAAAGGAAAAAGCAATTTCAAGCGAAAAACGAATAATCTGGTCTTTGAAATTGAAAGGAAGAAAAAAAAAAATTGCTTTTTCGACTCGATATCTATCTGAGAACATAGTTTGCTTCGTTCAGTTTCTTTGAAGTTGAAATTGAAATGGGACATCTTTTTCACGCGTTACCATGCCTCTTAGTCTGTTTGTCATAGCAGATGTAACATGTGTCTTTACTTTCTCTGTTTTATTTCTCTTTTGTGTCTCATACTCTCTCTCTCTCTCTCTCTCTCTTTCTCTCTCTCTATCTCTTTTTCTCTCTCTCTCTCTACATATATATATATGTATATATGTATATGTATACGCGCGTTTCCTTTTTTCTCTTTCTTTCTATTCAAATCGACACGGTCGGAGATTCGTTTGAAATCGCGGTACCGCTTTCGGGAAACGTAGACAAACGCGTGTTCTGTTGAAATCATTGCATCTCTTCTTTATTACTTTTTTTTTCTTTTTTCTTCTTCTTCATCTTCATCTTCTTCATCATCATCATCTTCTTCTTCTTCTTCTTCTTCTTCTTCTTCTTCTTCTTCTTCTT